CTATATCACAAGACAGAAAATGGCCTTTGCCACTTTCGCTTTCAAAGATAACGCACAAGAATAGTGGCTTCTTACCCTAGAAAAAGAAAAAATCGTGACTTGGGCAAGATTCTTAGAGGTATTTTACGAAAAATACTTTTCAAATTCACTGCGAAAACAAAAGGAGTCAGAATTCATACACCTAAAGCAAGGAACAATGTTTGTGGCCGAATAAGAGAGCAAGTTCACGTAACTAGCTCGATTTACAACATATGTTATTCCAACTAAAGCCCAAAAAACTAGAAAGTTTGAAGCCGGCTTCGATTATGACATCAGAAACAAGATTGAGGTTCCGAAATTGCCAACTTATGCGAAAATGGTGGTTTGAGCATACATTCCCGAAAAAGGGAATTAAAGCCTTACGTTATGGGGAAACGAGACAAAAGAAGCAATTTTAGGAAAGAGACAACAGAAGATCTGGTGCTGTGCCCCCAAAGAAAGTAAATACAGGGCTTAACCAATTCAGGCAATCAAAATCCTACTAACCCTAAAGGTGGTGCCATTCCAAATTGTCTTACTTGTGGGGGGCTCATTGGGGACGATGCCATCAAAACACGGGAGCATGCTTTAGATGCGGTCAAGTTGGCCACTTGCTGAGAGATTGTCCAAAGTTTACCAATCCTATAATAGGCCCCTCTGAACCAGTCCCAAAACCCACACTACTTGGAGGAGTGAAGAAGGACCAAAAACGCTAAGGAAGAGCTTTTTCCTTGGTGCCTAGAAACCCGAAGGTTACCGAGAACGTTGTGTTAGGTACACTTTCTGTCGTGGTCATTTAGCTCATGTTTTCATTGACTCTGGTTCAACTCATTCTTTTGTTACACCACACTTTGCTTCCAACTTAGTATCGACACCCGAACCCTTGCAATATATACTGTCTGTGTCTTTTCTTTCTGGTAGTTCTGCCCTTGGTACTGACATGTACAAATCTTGTGCGATATCCGTAAAAGGCAAAACCTTATACGTTGGAATCTCATAGCTTAAGGATTTCAGTCCACCCTGGCAATACAAAGATGTATCACAATCTGAGGGAACACTATTGGTGGACAGGAATGAAAACAGACATGGCAAGCCACATCTCTAAATGCCTACATTGTCAACGTGTTAAAGCAAAACATCAGAGACTTGCAGGAACGTTGTAACCACTCCTTACTCCTGAATGGAATTCAGCCTCGAACAATGATGCAATATGGGTTATAGTAGACCGATTGACGAAGTTGGCGCATTTTCTACAATTCAAAATCGCGTACTCTCTCAATAAGTTTGCCACTTTATACATCGAAGAAATCATTCAATTACATGGCACCCTAGTTTTAATCGTGTCTGATCGAGACTCCCGCTTCGTATCTCACTTTTGGAACAAATTGCAAGAAGCTTTAGGAACAACACTGAAGTTCAACACTACTTATCATCTGCAAACTGATGGACAATCCAAAAGGACAATCCAGACTTTGGAAGACATGTTACGTGTGTGCGTACTAGACCTCAAAAGTAATTGGGATGAACATCTACCTTTAGTAGAGTTCGCCTATAACAATAGTTACCAAACAAGCATTGAAATGGCAACATATGAAGCATTATATAGGAAAAAGTGTTAATTACCTCTGTGTTGGACGGAAGTTGAAGATAGAAAGCTATTAGGCCCTGAAATCATGCATATGACGAGTGACAAAATTCAACTCATCCAACAACAAATTCGCACCGCCTAGAGTAGCCAAAAAAGCTATGCAGACACACGGAGACGAGACTTGGAATTTCAAGTGGGAGATCATATTTTCCTAAAAACCTCATCAACAAGAGGAGTTATTCGATTTGGGAAATGATGGAAGTTAAACCCACGTTACATCAGGCCATTTGATATCTTAGAAAGAATTGGCCCTATGGCATATAGCCTTGCCTTACCACCTGAATTGTCTAATGTTCATAATGTATTCCATGTTTCAATGCTTCAACGATACCTTTGAGATTCAGAGCATGTTATCGATCATGAAAATCTAGAAGTTCAAAAAGATCTCTCTTATGAAGAACAACCAATACAAATTCTCGATTGTCGTGATCAAGTTCTCTGAAACAAAACCATACCCCTCGTAAAAGTCTTGTGGCGGAATCATCATGTCGAAGAAGTTACATGGGAAACCAAAAAATAAATGCGAGACAAATACCTACATCTTTTCAAAAATTAAGGTATGACAAGTTTGAAGACAAACTTCTTTTTAGAAGGAGAGAAATGTAATTCACAAATATTTGATTAATTTCAGCACCATGACAATGTCAGCTAAACATTTAATGTTTATTAAAAAAATAAAAAATAAAAATAATAATAATAATAGGGGCTAAATTATTAGTAAGTGATTTAATCAGAGGACCAAAAGGGAATTAAGAAAAGGAAGTGGGTCAAGGAAAAATTAAGCCAAAGTTAAGACAACTGGAATCAGCTCTCAAAGACCAGCAAAATAGAAATGCGGCAGTAAATTAGAGTAGAAGCAACGTGGCAACAGTTGGCCTAAGGACTTTGAGTAGTAAGCAAGTTTTGGAGTTTATCAGTAGGAATTGCCTAGGATGTAAAGAAGCAACGAAAAGAGATAAAAATAGGAGGCAACAGCTAAGGAAGGGCTCGAAAAACTAGAGGAATAGTGGGAAATAATATAAAAAGTAGAAAAGGTGAGTAATATTATATCTTGAGTTATCATAAAATATTTTACGTATATTTTGAATTACCATATTTTATTTTATGCAATTTATGTTTTATAAATTATATTAATGTTTCACTTACATCAATTATTTTATGAACTCTATTTACTTAAATTGAAATTCATGGATATGATTGTTTAAAATTTACAAATTATTTGGCAGTGATTATATAAACATTTATTTTTGTGAGTACCACCACGGGAGTCTCGTGCTTTGAAAAACTTAAATAACCATTGGCCTCTGATTGGTGACTTTGTGGCCGTTTGTCATCGATCCATTGACCTCTATTCTGATTGTCACTTCGGTGACCTCTATTCTAATTGTCACTTTCGTGACCTCTGTTCTATTCTATATCGTTGTTATAACTATTTTATTTATATTCTGAAATTCATTTCTGCCATTTAAATTATTTGTTCAGCTCAAATTAAATAATGCACAATATTTTAGCCTAAATAATTATCCATGTTGATTTTGTGCCTAATACTCTTGATATAATATTTCTCACTCTGCTATGTGTTTATAGTTGTTATCCCCTTTCAGATGATGAAATGTAAGGAAAAGTAGAAACCTCATATAAGGGGACTAGCACAGGACCTAATGCGGACATTTTTTTTTTTTTAATAATTGCCCAATTATCAATAAAGGAAAATAAAAGTCCCGATGAATTTTTTTTTTAAAAAAAAAAATTGTTGAGTATTTGGATTATTTATTTACCCATTTAATTTATTTACTTTCGTTTCCGTATGCACCAGTTAATTTGTTAAAATTAGAATTGACTTTCGTTATTAATTGTTATGTTTTCGAACCCCCTAGTCACCAGGGTTGGGTCATGATATATGTTACCATGAAAAATAAAATTTCTTGATTTCAATTTATGCAAAATCCTAATTCATCTTCTTAATTATTTATAATTTGTGTTTTGTTTTAGCCTAATAGAGTCATATTTTAATGTAAATTTTGTAATAAAGTGTATATTGGTGAAAAATTTAGATGATTTTCCCTTTTTACCCTCTTGTCGTAGTCACATGATTATCACATGAGTAGATTCTATTAAAGATTTAAAAGATGAATAACAAAAGCGGATATTGACACTTGTATAGAGACCAAAATGAAATTTGACCAAAAATACAGAGGGTTAGCTATCATAATTTCATGTACAGAGACCAATGTGAGATTTGACCAGAAGTGTAAGGCGTTGACTGTCATGATTTCATGTCTAAGAGTCAGAGTGAGATTTGATACAATGTGCAAAGGTGCAAAGTGTAATTTATCCAAGTGTAAACTTGAAAACTGTTTTGAAAAAATTTAAAACCAATCAAAATGAATATATTATTATTTGTCATTTATTGAGAATACAAAGTAGATGATGGCCCTGTTTGGTACAGCTTTTTTTCAGCTTATTTTAGCTTTCAGCTTAATTTAAGCTATTTTGATGTGTTTGGTTTTGCTTAACAATACAACTTATAGCTTTTTGTAAGTCAGAAATCAGCTTATTCTTTGAGTGGGGCAGGAGAAGCTTAATTTATAAGTCAGAAATCAGCTTTATGTTCATAGTTATAAGCTATAAGCTGTTAAGGCATAAGTTATAAGCACTTTCCCACAGCTCTACCAAACAGGGCCGATATCACATGATATTCCAAATATATTTAATAATTTTCCAACTTTTTTTTTTTTTTGTCCCCAATCCTAAGATTTGGTTCTGCACACAGCCGACGTTTACATGATCACCACTTGCTTAATTGATTATATCAGCAGTATTATAAATTTAAAATTATTTACTTAAAATTTATTTAGAAATAATCATTAATAATTTAAATTTTTTTTATTTATAAATCTCACACTTTATCAATTTAATCTCGACCATATATACTCATTCTAAATAAATTTCAGAATCTTAATTCTAAGATCCTAGTCGTTTCCTTGATTATATTCTTTAGAAATGTTTGATCCACAACACTCTTGTGAGTTGCGACCTAATCAATTACATGCTTGCAAATTCTTTTTGAAAAATCTAGTTTAATTGGAAAAATCCTTTCGAAAATTTAGATTTATCCCGTGATAAGTGATTGTTGATTTAGATAATCTAAATTAAAAATTATAAAACCACGATCGAAGTAGACAAGAGAGAGAGTAAGAGAAATACAACCACGGCACAAAATATTTTTTTACTTAATCACAATTAAAATCTACCAACTTGTGATAAACAATCACAGGCCCTCGGCCAAGCGAATAATCCACTATGAATTAAAAGAGTACAAGAGATATCTTACAAAGGCCACTCCGGGCTCACGCATATTTGCTCGACCTACGGGTCACTCTTCTTCCTCCACTGGACCTCCTTAACAATTGTTGAATCACCATGACCCCAATGACTTCGGAATCCACCGAAGTCTACAATTTTGGAATCCGCCAAGAAGGTTCACAATCGAAAGGAGTGAAGGACTTATTACAACTTGATGATTAGCTTTGAAGTTCTTGGTTGCTAATGAATCATCAAGCAAACGAGAGTAATACAACAAAATCCTCACTAGAAAGTTCACTCTTAAACACTTAGCAAAATCTCTCAACAACAAAATGATCTCTCTCTCACAAATGTATTTCTCACTCATAAAAATGATCTTTCAAAAGATAAAAATATCCAGAAAAACTTAGGAGAGAGTGCTCCGAATATAAGTATGAGAGATACAAAATAAACCAGCCGAACCTGTCTTAAATAGGCCTGGCGCAGGGCTTTCTCGCTGCTGCGGACCACATGGTCACAGCTGTGGTCATTATCGCGGCCGCGACCATCCTTTGCGGGATGTAGAGCCAACTTCTGGAGCTGATTTGGTCGCGACTTGGCCCCGGCGCGATGTCCTTTACCGCGGGCGCGATTGTGAGAAACGAGACCAGCTGATTTTGCTGACTTCTTACTGCATCTTTTGCATGTTTTCTTCCATATTTTGAACCACGGTTTTTCCATGTTTTGGCCACGCTTTGTCTCTTACTTTTCCCAACACAAACATATCTTTCAAGACTTTTTGAGATTGGAACGATTTCATAAATCTGACACATGCTTGAACACAAGTTGACAACTAAGGAAAGAAGAAAAAATCTTTAGTCAATGTGCCAATATTTCCAATTCAATTTCGAGCCACCAAACTTTGTGTCACCATGCTTATAGCCACAAGGTCAACCATAATCTAAAGCCAACCCATCTTGGGCCCCCCAATCTGCAACTTTGTCATTTGAGAAAACCAAGTTGATAATACCACAAGAAGACAACAAAAATATAAAAAACAAACACAACCAACTCAGAAAGAGAGAAAATAAATGAATCAATTTTGGAAAGGAATTTGCAAAATAAATTAAACACAAAGATTAGAATTAAAAATCTTAACATTTTTACTTGTACAATTGTACAATTTATGAAGTATGGTTATTTCGAAAAACATGTTGTCCGTACTGGGTACTTACCGGCGTATGGTAGCTCGTATGGTACTTCTGCATACGTACTGGATACACAAAACATGTATCTAAATTTTTTCTTCTTAATTTTTGGCGTACCTAGACGTACCTAGTATATACCCAAGTCGTACCGTATTTCAGTTGAAATAATATTTTCTTCTACTACAGCAATAAAACTCTTTTCACTAGACTTCTTTATTTATATTTAGTTTTATACTTAGCATGATTTTAAAATTAAACTATGATTTGTATGTTATTTAACATATTGACATTTAATTTTGATTTATAACTTTACTTTATAAATGTTAATTATAAGTTGGATCTTAACAAATTAAACTATTTAATTAATTTTCATATTACTATAAATTAAGAATAAATATTTTTTTACAAGCGCACCAAGTTGTACCCGTACCTTACTTTTTTTTAGATTTTACCATATCGACGTACCCATATCATACCAATACCAATACTCGTACCCCGTACTCGTGCTTCATAACCTAGAATCTCTTTGGCGTCAGAAGATTGGTTGCATTGGGAGGCATCAACATCAGGTCACATCAGTGTGGCATCATTATCAAAATGGTGAAGCTGCTAATGGCCCATCTCTTCGGATAACAAATTCGATTTGAAAGAATGTGGCTCCTCCCAAAATTCAGTTCTTTTGGTGGCTTGGTTGGAAGGGCAGATTGAAGACATCAGACCTTTTAAAGAAAATTGGAGTGCCTGACACCAATGCTAATTCATTGTGTGTTTTCTGCAGATTAGAAGAGGAATCTGCCAACCATATTCTTTTACACTGTCCTTTGATTTGGAGGGTTTGGTCAGGGATTTTGAAGTGGTGGCATTTGATTTGGGCAATCCCTCGGTCTGTGGAGTTGCTTTAGCAATGGTGGGCAGGTGTAAAATTCAAAAAGGAGGAGTTATGTATTTGGAAGTTGGTCCCTCTTACATTGATGTAGTCTGTATGGAAATTAAGGAATGATTTAGTTTTCAATGGGTGTCAACCTGATTTTGTAGATTTGGAGGAAATTGTGAAGACAAGAGTTGCCTTTTGGTCCAAGAGTGGGTTACCAGAGTTGCAGTTTTTGGTCACTACAACAAAATTAAATTTTTATGACTTGCAATGCATGCCATAAAAACTCTTTCATGGTATAATTTTATATGTCGTAAAATGTCATTTTTAACATATTTATGACATACTTTATATGTCGTATATAATCTTTTATGACACTAGTGAATGATTTTATTTACCATCTCAATCAGGTCAGATTTTGCTTAAAGGGTTGAGGTGTGAGTGATTGGTTTTTGATGGTGCAGTGGGTGTGGTTGAGTGTTTTGCTGCCTTTGGCAGGTGGTTTTTGTTTTGTTTCTTTTGTGTCTGTGGTTGTTTTGTTGGTTGGTCTCTCACCAATTTGGTGGTATGCTGGCATATAATTGTATTGGTTTTACAGTGCCAACTTAGTTGGAATTATAAAGTTTGGCTATAATGCCTTTTACATTCCCCTTTTTTATTGATGTTTATCTCTTTTGTATGAGTTTCTTCTTCGTCAAAAAGAAAAAAAAGAAAAAAGAAAAAAGAAGTAAACAAACCAAGTCTACGGATATGATATCAATATAGTATAATATGAAATGTATTAATATATATTTTTTTTGATCAACAAAAATAAAACTTTATTGAATTAGAACCAAGGAAAAAATCCTTACATCTGACATCAATAAAGGAACAAAAAAGCTGTGCTACCAGCATCATAGTGGACTATACTCATCCCAACTAGGTTGGCACAAGAAAGCCACCCAATCATGTGCTAACACAAGCCAAAAGCTAGTTGGAGAGACACCAAGCAGCAGAAAACCAAAATAGAAACAAGAAGCAAACAGACACCAAGAAGAACAACACAACAACTAGACAGCAGCAACCACTGAAAACCAGAACAAAGGGAAAGGCAGCAACAACCACAACTCAAAGCCCCCTGATAGATTTCAAATTAAAAAGCAAGTCATTAACTGAGAAAACCACCCCCTTAGAATGGTACTTAACCAAGAAAGCAATATTCAACTTAATGGATTCACAGACACCACACCAGTTTACCTGTGAACCAGAAAATTTAATTTCATTCCTAGCCTTCCACACATACCACATGACCACAGATGGCAGTGCATCCCACATACACTTGAGCATTTTCTTAAATTTAAATCCACCCCACCAATCCAAAAGCTGAGATATACTCTGAGGCATAACCCACACCAAACTCCACCACTTAACCACTTCAGACCAAATGCACCAAGCAAACCGACAATGGAGAAGGACATGACTTACATCTTCAGCACTAGAGTGACAAAAGCAGCACGGAAAGAAGCCATTGGGATCTAAAACACCAAAACTCTACAAAAGCACCGAAGTTTTTAATCTTCCTCTCCATGCCAACCAACAGGTGAACTGCATTTTTGGAGGAGAAATACCCTTCCATAACAACCTAGGCACCACTAGACCTGAGCTGTCAATTAAGGAAAGCCACTCATAAGCTGATTTCACGGAATAGACCCCTGACGTACCAAAAGTCCACACCAGTCTATCCTCTACACCAGATCTTAATACTGGGACAGAGTTAAGAAGATGACCAAGAGTAGATAAATCTGCAGCTTCCTAAGAGCAAAGGTTTCTTCTGAAATTCAACATCCACCCAGATGAAGAAGATCTTCTACTGAAAATATCATAAACAGATGCTTCTTTATCCTGAGAAAGCAAATACAATATGGGGAAAACTAATTTCAAGCAACCAGCGACAGACCATGAATCATTCCAAAAAGAGCACCTATAACCGTCACCTAAAGCAATACTAATGTGGGAATGCAAAAAATCAAAGAAATTAGGCCTGGATACAACTACTGACAGTATGTTAGTCTAAACTCTAGAGCCATAAGTTTGAAAATCAGATGGAGGCAACCAAGACTTTGGGGCATACTTGTATTTACTGCAAATAATATCTTTCCAAAGAGCCTTCTCCACACACCCAAATCTCCACCACCACTTAGCCAAAAGACATAGATTCACATCTCTAATTTTCCTAATGCCAAGACCGCCAACTCTAAAATCTTTAGTAACTTCAGACCACTTAACCAAATGCACCTTTTTCTTAAGGTTAGAACCTCCCCAAAAAAAGGAGGCTTGAATACGATCAAGGTCTTTAGCAACTCCTTCAGGGATCTTAAACAAAGATAAGTAATAGACAGGGAGGTTACTCAAGACAGATTTAATCAAAGATAATCTGCCACCAAAAGACAAATGCCTTCTCTTCCAGCTGGCAAGCTTAACTTTAAACTTCCTAACAATAGAGGCCCAAGTTGATTTAAATCTAGGGCTAGCACCAAAAGGTAGACCCAAAAAAGAAATAAGGAGCACACCCTTGGAACAATTAAGGATATCAGCAACCTGATCCAGAAAAACCTCCTCCACACCAACACCAATAACCGAACTTTTACTATAATTAATCTTTAGACCAGAAACAACTTCAAAACATCAAAGCAACCTCTTGATACAAAGAATTTCCTCCTGATTGGTCTCACAGAACAATATGGTGTCATCTGCAAATTGAAGGTGTGACACTTTTACCAAATCATTCCCAATAACAACCCCCTTGAAGACTCCTAACTCTCTAGCCCTCAAAATCAAAATATTCAGACCTTCCACAACCATATTAAATAAAAAAGGGGAGAGAGGATCCCCTTGCCTTAAACCCCTTTCAAGAATAAACTCATCTGTAGGGCTTCCATTAACTAACACAGAAATTCTAGCCTTGGTAACGCAGCTTTTGATCCAATTCCTCCATTTAAGCCCGAAATGAAAACTTTCCATTAGATTAAATAAGAAATTCCAATTTACACAATCATATGCTTTCTCAAAATCAATTTTAATAATCACCCCTTTCTTCTTTTTACTCCTCCACCAATCCAACACCTCATTTGCAACAAGCACCCCATCAAGAATGAATCTCCCCCTCATAAAAGCTAATTGGGAAGGGCTAATAATAGATGGAATAATAAGTTTCAGCCTGCTAGATAACACTTTGGCAAGAATCTTGTACATGGAACCAATAAGACTAATTGGTCTATAGTCATTGAGGCTATTGGGGTTCTCAGACTTCGGGATGAGAGCAATGAATGAAGAAATAAGGCCAGAGGCCAACTTTCCATTAGCAAAAAACTCTTTAAAAAATAACATGATATCCCCTTTCATAAATTTCCAGCATTTCCTAATAGCCAAAAGATTAAAACCATCTGGCCCAGAGGCCTTGTTCCCATCACAGGCCTTCAGAGCACTCCAAACCTCTGACTCTGAGAACTCCTTTTCAAGATCAAGAACCTGGGAACCATCTAATGTCTGAAAAACCCCTCCTAATTTTGGCCTAACCTTCCATGATTCTGAAAAAGCACTCTTAAAATGATTCCAGACCTGGCTTTTAACTGCTAGTGGATCATCAACCACCACTCCATTTACTACCACTGAGTTAATGAGATTAATGTTCTGCCGACATTTAACCATCAAATGGAAATACCTTGTATTTTTATCACCTCTGAGAGCCCAGTCTTGCCTGGATTTTTGAAGCCAAAACCACTCTGCCCTCTTACTTAACTTCCAAATTAGCTCCCTCAACTTTGCTTTTCTGGATAACTCAGCTGCCAACAACTCTCTAGACTCAGCTAGCAGGTCCAGCTGATGGAACTCCTCCTCAACAAGTTTTAGTTGGGATGCAAGGTTACCAAAAACAGATACATTCCACTCCTTAAGATGCTTCTTTAAAAAACCCAACTTTTTGGATAGTCTAAACCCAGCCCACCCATCAACCTCTGCTTCAAGCCAAACCTTTTTAACCATA